GGCTTAAACAGCTGCATCCACTCATTCTTCATCAGCGCCTGCACGCGGTCGAACACGCGCTTAGCCGCTGGTGTATCACCGTTGATAGGTGGGCGAGGAGCATTCAGCAAAGCTGAACGCTTCGCACTCGCCACCGATGGTTTAGAACCCTCGGTCCCATCGTCATAATCTTCATAGTCGGGGTCGGCACCCGCGACGTCGTCCAGCTCGGAGAGTTTGAGCCAAACTCGCTAGTTCCTTGGAGCTCTAACAAGAAACAAGGCGCTGAAAAAGATGACGATTACCACGGCAACTTCGACGCCGCACTCTTCGAGAAATGATTCACGCAGCTGTGTGTGGGCTTAAGGCGGTACGGTAGCTGTAGCATCCACATGGATGGCACAAGCTACCATCAAAGACAAGAAAACCCTGCACCTGCCCGACGGACTGTCAAAGCGGACGTACAAGCAGGGTTGTTCCGATACAGTACGTTTGTTTTTCAATTTGACCACTATTTGCCTCTAATAAAGTGTTCTATTAAAATCTAAAACATTTTTTTTTCGTTTTGGGAATTGACTTTGATCCTAGTTGGTTCATTTCTCAACTGCTTGAGCTTATAAATAGCTCATAGGACCAAACCGACCTACGTTGCAGCTCGAATTGCCCAATGACACAGTCACACGTTACTATACGCCCCCCCCCCCCCCAAGCTGCAGCTCATCGAGCTGATAGGGGACCGTGCGGAAACAGAATAGCTAGACGATCCTCTGACAACTTAGCAGACCTCTCATCTAAACTTACTACTGAGTTTGACTATATAAAGTTGAAGCACTGGTGCAAGTATTACTAGCGCGGACCGGGATTTGAGCGCAAGTACATGACGGCATTGAAGTAGTGTGAGCTTTCGACATTGAGGAGTATTGCGCAGAAAAATGGCGAGTAATCTCTCTTTAATTTTATACAAAAACTCAATTCTTAAATTTGAACTTTTATCCTGAACGTTCGGGCTTACATATGTTTTGAACTTCCCATACGCTTTGACCAATGAAATTGCCACATACTAGCAACGGTTTTCCCGTTTTAATTGCTTTGGAGACACTTTTTGTTGGGCTTGTAGCGCCAAAACTACGGCGAATTTGTCATTCTTAACACCGTAATCATATCCAGAATGGGCGGTGTTATTAATACCACATATCTGAATGCCATATCTATTTTTTCTAAAATTAAAATTGAACCTACCATACGACCCTGATTACTAGCCCCACCATTTCTGCCGCTACAATAAATGCCGTCAGTCAAAAGTATGGAAGAATATTACTCCAAACTACACCTTGGGCAGCACGAAGAGCCACGAAAGCGGATTTCAATGCGAAACAGCCCCCCCCCCCCCTGGTCCAAGCGCGCGAAGAGCTTGGATTTATTGAGAGCGAAGAAATTTCAACAATGAATGCATTTCATTTCAACCTGTGCATTGCCAAACAATATGCTCTTTGGGGGTGTTGCGCAATTTTTTTTGTCAAAATATATTTCCCAGCATGGCCCCTTAACAATCGAGGTTGCTGCCATTTACATGGGCTTGTTGGAAAATAATAAGCAAAACAAAATTATGATCTCAAGTATTTTGTCAGTGAATTACAGTTATTTCAAAAATATTACGGTGCAGCGATCCACATTAAGCATATATATTTTTTTTTAATTCTTTTGCTGACGCATGTCGTGGAAAGCTCAAGCTCGTAGCGGTGACACCGCCAGTGCGTTGCTGCAGCCACACCAGGTGCTAGTCTCACACGAGGACGCTTCACTGTACTCCATCAAGCAGCTAGATCTGCTGCGTGTCCACTTCGCGTCGCATCAGTCTGCTGTTCTCGTGCTAGAATGCGTCATCGATCGTCGCCAGTCGTCCAAGGCTTCGAGCGGCAGTGCTGTGCTCAGTGGAGGACGTATCCAGCTGCATCCGTGGGTGCTTAACGTATATAGACAATTAGAGAACACGTTTGCAACACTGAAGAAGATTGAACTCGCTTCGTTTACGTCCATTTGGCTGAGTGTGCAGACCAAATTCCCGACCATCGCAACCTCCGGCACTGACAGCGTTGGCGTGGAGCTGGGCGACTCCCGCATAGACCTGCTGCCTGGGAGTGTCCACAAGAGGCAGATTGACTTGGAGGCAGTGGTTCGACGCCATCTGCGAGCTGCAGGAGCGCTCCGAGCACCGCAAGTGGGCCAACTCGTGCCTGTGAGGATATTGAGGGACACGTACATCTTTCGGATTGATAGAGTGGACGAAAATGGAGTGCCAAGTAAGGAGAAGACGCAGGTTTTCGTAAAGGGATGGAGTGAAGCGACAGAGGAGGAGGAACAGGAAGCGTTGACGGAACAGGTCGCGGCTCTGAGTACTAAAGACAAAGATTCAGGTAGAACGACTGATGCGTCGTCATACGAAAGCGAGCTAAATGCTCGACTGTGGCAGAGTGGCTTTGCTGGGTACACAGCATTTGTACAAGATGTGCTACTCAACCTTGCGCTGGTGTTGAAGCGTGGACATAGTCTCAAGAATGGCGTGGAAATGGAGCAGATTGGGTCGCATGGATTGCTTTTCTCGGGTGTGAGTGGTGTGGGGAAGTCTCTTGCGTTGGTGGCTCTACACCGTGAGTTAGTGCGAGAGAAAATTGTAACGTGGAGGACCGATGGTATGTCGCTGCTAATGGAAACTGAGAGTCCAGCGTTCCCCACAGCCTATGAATATTTGACTCACGAACTGGAACAGCGTTTTCCAGACTTAGGATCTCTAAATGATCACGAGATTGATCAAGAATCATCTTCTTGTGTTGGAGTTGTGCTAATTGACGACTTGGACGTGCTGTTCCAATCAGCAGATGGTCAGATTGCTGATGGATCGAACACGCAGCTCCCGCAACTTGGCAGCGCTTTGCTGCGTTTACTTGACGAGTTTAGCTCGCGAAATTTACGTCTCGTTGTTGTCGGAACGACTGCGAGTGCCGACGCCAATATTCCTCTTGCTGCTAAGCGTACCGGTCGATTCGGTAAAGTTTTGGACCTGGTTGTGCCTACTGAACAATCCCGCCGTGACATTTTGAGACGACATCTCATCGGGCTGCCACTACGGAGCGAAGAAGCTTCAACGGACAGCGACGCTGAAAGGCTGGCCTCTCGTCTGGCATCACTGACCGGAGGTTACGTGGCGAAAGACTTGGTGCGTATCTGTCGAAACGCGGCTGCAAGAGCTCACGCTGAATCAGTTAGCGACGGTGGCTCAATTAAGCCGTCAGTCGGATGGACCGAGCTGTTGCAAGCCCAGCAGCAAGTAAAACCTTCGCAACTTCGAGAGTTGAATGTGGCGTCACCTGGTGCGCCAGTGGACGGAAAGCTCGCGTTTGCCGGCTATACTGCTGTGCAGAAACAGCTTTTCGACTTTGTTTCTTGGAAATTCCACCCCACCAACGCGATGAACGTACGTAGCGGATCTTTGTACGGAATATGACGTTGTGATCCCACTGACATTGTTTTTCTTGCAGCGCCTAGGAATTTCGAACGCATCAGGAATCTTGCTGTCAGGTCCATCGGGCTGTGGTAAAACATTGCTAGTGCAGACACTGGCAGCTAAAGCCAAGGTGAACTTCGTCTCTGTCAAGGTAGTTCTGCTGTAGTAATATGCGCCAAACTAGTCAGAACAACCTTAGTACGAGTTGCTAACTAACTCTGCACTGTTGTGGTTGAACGCAGTCATCCGAGCTGCTCTCCAAATATTTAGGCGACAGCGAGAAAGCAGTGCGTCTGCTCTTCGGTACGAAGTCTACACGAATTCCTTGTACAATGGTGACATACTGACTGCTTCTTGTTTGTCTGAAGCTCGTGCACGTGCTGCGTCCCCGTGTCTCTTGTTCTTCGACGAGTTCGATTCTATCGCTCACAAGCGCTCGTTTGGTGAGGGTGATGGAGGAAGCAGTGGCGGTGGAGTCTACGCACGCGTTCTCTCCACTTTCCTCAACGAGATGGACGGCGTGGGCTCACAGCGCGTAACAGCATCATCCGTCTCGCGTACTAAGGGATTATCAACAGCGGATAGCGGTGGCATTCTCGTGGTAGCCGCAACGAACCGAAAAGATGCTCTTGACGCCGCTCTCGTTCGTCCCGGCCGCATCGACAAGACTGTGGAGATAGGATTCCCGACTCAAGAAGACATTGAGGTGAGGAACGAACGTGCACGGGTCTAACGTGGTGAATTTGAGTTAATAGTGGTTTGTTGCAGGATATTCTTGCTCTGTACACGAGAAAGATGCCGCTAGCCGACGACGTCAACATCCAAGAACTTGCTGCGCGATCGAGAGGGTAGTAGACTGAGCCTTTCCCCTTCTTGAGATGATTTCAATTGACCTTGTTTGTACTTGCTTGAAACAGTTCTCGCACGTTCACGGGAGCTGACATTGCTGCAATCTGCAAGGAGGCTGCATTCCGTGCACTTCGCGAAGATATTGAGGCGAAGACTGTTCGTTCACGGCACTTTGAGGCGGCATGGGATCAGCGCGCTGAAGCAAGTCCAACATACACGACTCCATCCAGGGTCAACCAGGACTCCACAGGTGTCTGATACCACGACTAATAGATGATGTCAGCGTGGCGATAGCGAAGAGTGGCCAGCCACGTCACGCGGGATAATTTTGAGCACTTGGCGTAAGTCCTTAGTGCGAGCTGAAGCTGCTCTCTCAGCTGACTTTTTCTTTCGTGCTCGACTTTCTGTCTCCACTTCACGTGCTCTGGATCGCTTTAACGTCCGCTTCGTGTCTGGAGAGGGAGTGATTCCAACACGTTCACGCTCTCTGTCGACTTCGTTACTACTCATATGAGCGAACACCGTTTTGAAGGGGAAGAATGCTTGCAGGAAAGGGTGGAACAGCGCCTGCTTTGCTGTGATCCTCGTGGCTGGGTTGACATTCAGCAGACTGTAGATAAAGTCCTGGAACTGGTGATTCCCCAGAGCTGCAGCTTCTAAACGAGCTTTCAACGACGTCGATGGCGTCTGCTGTCTGTGACTCTCTGTTGTCTCTTCATACCGGGCAGCAGACCTGTACGGGGCGCACGCAGCACTCAGAGACACTCCGTTCGTTATGACACCTTCAATCTGCCTCAATAGATCGTTATTCTCGAGCCTTGCGACCTCAGAACGCTCCTGTACTGACGCATCCAGAGCTGGCAGAGTGAATAAAGGTTTACCAGACACGCACTCGAGCAACAGACAGCCCAGTGACCACATATCCATCGCAGGGCAAAGCAACAGCCCCGCAGCCACCTCTGGAGCGCGATACGTGACAGTCTGCACGTCGAAGCCTCCACTTGTCTTCTCTTCAGCATACGCCGCCAACTCACTCGCATCCAGGCAGTTGCCAAAGTCCACGAGCTTCACTGGCGATGAGCATGGCGATTGGGAAGGCGACGATCCCATCGAAGCCTCTGCATTCGACCGCACCACGTTTTCCGGCTTGACGTCGGCGTGGATGAGCCCTTGGTCATGTATGAAAGCTAGAGCGCCGCATAGATGCACGGCCATCTGTCGGACGTCCACTAGTGACAGTGAAGGCGTCAATATGGCCGCCTCGAGTTTCTTTTGTGCTTCAGGCGACTGGATGTTGGTAGGATCAGAGGAACGTCTCCGCTTGCGTTTGAAGAGCTGCTGTGTCCAATCGGGGACCCGAGCGGCTCCAGGCGCTTGACGCCAGGGCCCCCAGCGCCCCACGTCTAGTACAGGAGGCCCCAAGAGCTCCAATACGAGACAGAAGTGACCCTGTTCTTCGAACGTCTCTAATAAACGCACCACTGAAAGTCACCGAATGTGTCAAAAGCGTCACAACATAATGGGAGACTGTGCTTATCGACCTACCAGCACAGGCTGCGTCTGCATCCTGGTTGTTGACTCTGCGCAGCGCTGCAGCTTCTCGCTCGCCCAGTGCGTTGAGCTCTTGTTGGCGTACGCACTTGATTGCCACGTGGCGCTGCTGTTGGATGTCCAGAGCTCTTCAAAGATCGAGTGACAATGAGAACGTCAGGAGACTTTTAGCGGTGAAAACTCTTGGAATCCACTGCAAGACACACGCACCGCATGATGACGGCGAAAGTGCCGCTGCCGATGCGACGCAGAAAGCGGTAGCGGCCATCGTGTAGCAGCGTCTGACCTTCCACCAATGTCTGCATCTTTTTGAACAATTTGTTTGCCGCCAAACTTTGTAATTGGCGGTAACCAAATATCAGAATGAATGCTAAAATGTTGGTAATATTCGTTGCACCTAGCTCATCCGTCTACACTTTTGTCCGCCAGAAGCGCGTCCGTGAGGGGGAGACGGGTGCACATACAAAACTTAAATACCGGGATGTTGCCGTCCACTTTACTTGCCATTTGCACTTTGCAATTGAGCACGCAGACGTTGGACTTCCATCTCTAGTTGGGACTTTTCCTGTTGTGACTGGTGCAGCATCCACCGCAGCGACTGCACTTCTTGTTCGTACGCCTGCAGACTCTTGACGTTCTGCTGTTTACTCAACTGGCCTGCTCCCTTAACGTATATAGACAATTAGAGAACACGTTTGCAACGCTGAAGAAGATTGAACTCGCTTCGTTTACGTCCATTTGGCTGAGTGTGCAGACCAAATTCCCGACCATCGCAACCTCCGGCACTGACAGCGTTGGCGTGGAGCTGGGCGACTCCCGCATAGACCTGCTGCCTGGGAGTGTCCACAAGAGGCAGATTGACTTGGAGGCAGTGGTTCGACGCCATCTGCGAGCTGCAGGAGCGCTCCGAGCACCGCAAGTGGGCCAACTCGTGCCTGTGAGGATATTGAGGGACATGTACATCTTTCGGATTGATAGAGTGGACGAAAATGGAGTGCCAAGTAAGGAGAAGACGCAGGCGGTGATGGCTGCAAGCTTCTTCGGGTCAGCCCTTATTCCTTCTGGCGAGACCTCTTGTGACAGGAAGTCTACATTTGTTTGGCAGAAGATGCTCTTGGTGAAGCTGATACTTATCTGACATTCGGCAAATCGAGCTAGTAATCGGTCTAGCGTCACAGCCATCGAAATCTTCACCACCAAAGCAGATGTCGTCTACGAACGACCGGCGGCACCAACGTTGACTCATCGGGTTCTCCATTCTGAAACA